CTGCCCCTCTCCGGCGCCAGACGGGGCCGAGGGGGTGACGCCCGACACGCCCAAGATGCTGAAGCTGGCGGAGCAGTGCCTGGAGAGAGCCAAGTCCAGCGCGGCCGAGCTGGGTGAGCGCCGGGCGCGGAGCCGTCGCGGGGCCGGCGCCGGGGCCTGTAGCCCTTGGCAACCCCGGTGCTTTCCCCGCCCGCAGGGAAGAGCCAGGTGAAGCCGGCAGCCCCCGAGAAGGGCCCAGGCCCTGTTCCCGTCTCCCGGCACCGCAGGGTCTTCTCGGACGAGGGCGGGAAGCTGTCGCCCTTCCTGCCCCCGGAGATCTTCCAGAAGCTGCAGGTCGCGGAGGCGCAGAGCTCCAAGAAGTGAGCGGGGCGGGACGCACGGGTTGGGTGAGGACCCCTGGGCAGCTGCCGGGGGGGTGGGGAGAGGGGCCTGTGTCGGCCCGTTCCAGCTCCTCGCAGCTTGCCCCCGCTCCCCCTCAGTGGCTCCCGGTGTTTGCAGGGAGCTCACGCCGCTGGAGGAGGCATCGCTGCAGAACCAGAAGCTGAAGGCCGCGTACGAGGCGCGCCTGGCCCGGCTCAACCCCAGCCAGGCCCTGCAGAAGACCTCTCTGGCAAGTGCAGCTGGGGTGGAGAGCGCAAGGGGTGGAGGGGCGGGGGTTGCATCCAGGCAGAGAAGGGGCTATGCCCTCCCAGGTGATGGACTGCTGGACCGCAGCCCCAGGAGCGCGGGCTTGACCCGCTGGTTGCCCCAGCTGGCTGGGTGGCTCCTGGCTGTCGGGCAGACGGGGCTCCCTGGAGCAGGCCTGGGGGGAGGGTGGGAGCTGGGAGGAGGCAAGAGCAGAGCCCTCCCGTGCGGCCCACAGCTGAGGGGGTGGCAGCAGCCGCTGCTTCAAGGGCTGGATGAGCCTGGGGCCCAGCCAGCCAGGCCCCGGGGTGACCACGCGTGCTCACGCCTCGCTGCCGAGGCGTAGCCAACCCCCCAGGATGGGCCTGGGGCCTGTCCAGCCACCTGCCAGCCTTGGTCTGGGCTGCAGAAGCGCAGGGTGGGGTGTGTTCAGCCACTACCCGAAATGCCCTGCCATCTCCTGGCACGCGGAAAGGAGCGGGGTCCTGGCTGGGTGCTCCTGGCACAGGGGAGCAGGTGAGAGTTAGGGCTTGCCCACAACGCCTGCGTGTGCTTTGCAGACGCTGTCCCTCCAGCGGCAGATGATGGAGAACCTGGTGATCGCCAAGGCGCGGGAGGAGACGGTATCCTTCCCAAGCCACCCCTGTGGCGCCCGGGGTCTGTGCCTTCCCCCTCAGGCCAGGGCCGGGTGAGGGTGCGGCTGGGGTGAGGCTCAAGGAGCAGTGGTTGAGCCAGACCCAGAGCACGTGGGGCTCTGAGACCGGGTAACACCTGCTGGGAAGCCCAGCCTGCTGCCCCCCCCTCCTGCAAACACCCCTCCCAGATTCCAGCTTGCACCTAGGCCAGGTCAGAAAACCCTCCCTGCTTGGCTGAACTCTGGCCCTGCCTGGGCGGGGACTGGGGCTAGGGCAAATACAGCCTGGCCCCCGGGGGTGCCCGCGCCCCACCTGTGCTGGCTCGCAGGGCCAGGCCAGCCTCTGGCAGGCACGGGGGCCGCGCTCTGTTTACATTTTCTGTTTAACCCTGGCCAGAAGCACGTGAGGCCGCAGAGGGCCGTGCCTGGGCCTTAACTCTGCTGTATTCCAGCTCCAGCGCAAGATGGAGGAGCGCCGGCTGCGCCTCCAGGAGGCAGCCAACAGGTAAGGAGGGCGGGGGCCACGCTGCGCCAGAGGAAGGGGAGTATTCATAGTGCCCTTGCTCAGCGCTCTGGGCCTTGGGCACCCGGCCGGGGTCCTTTATGCCCCATCTGAGGCTGGGGGGCCATGAGGGTGCTGCCTTTCGAGCCCTTCCCCAGCCGAGAGAGTGTCTGCAGCCTTGTCTTCGAGCCAGCTCCTCCCAGCTCGCAGCAGCTTCTGCCCAGGTTTCAGCCGCCGTGGCCTCTGCTTGGGGAGGTCGTTGCAATGCACCAAGTAGGGTGGATGCCCTGTCTCTTCTGTGCCCGGGCCCATGGTGGCAGCCAGGGTGCAGCCACCTGCTCCAAGCCTCACCCTGATGTATGCCATGTCCCCACAGGCGGTTCTCCAGCAGCGTGGCCCTAACCCCTGAGGAGCAGGAGCAGCGGGAGCTCTACGCCGCCATCCTGGAGTACGAGCAGGACCACGTATGTCCCTGCGCCCTGCCTAGCGCCGCTGGGCTCCCAAACCAGAGGCAGCCGCTGCCTCTGTGTCCTCTGCTCCCAGGCACCCAGAAAGGGCTGACGGGTGTGCACGGGCTGGCCATGCTCCCCAAAGCTGGAGCTCAGCCGGCTGGGGCTGGGGCATCATTGATGACTGGGTCTGCCCAGTTGCCTGCGCGTGTTGTGGGACAAGTGTAGCCCCCCAGGGTCCCCTTCCTGGGTGTGGTGTCTCCAGGGGCGGGGGGAGCTGCAGCCCTGCCTGGCACAGATGATGCCTGCCCCCACGAGCTCTCAGATGCTCTTCCCCCACAAGGAGTGGCCCCGGCTCTGGAAGAGCAAGCTGAGGAGGAACCCGGCAGACCTCACCCTGGTGTCCAGCCTCTTCTCCTGCCTCCTCAGGTAGGCTCCAGCTCTAGGGGCTGCTGGAGGCACCTCTCCAAAGCCCAGCCCTGGCACAAGGGGGATTTGGGTGGCCTCACAGCTGGCCAGGTGTTTGCTGGAGTCTCTCCCCAGCAGAGATGCTCCTGGGGTCTGTGGGAAAAGCTGCTCCAGCTGCGAGGGTGGTGCTTTGGACAGGGGCTATGCTGGGCTCCGTACCCACAGAGGGGCCTTGGGGGGCACGAGCTGGCTTCCCTCAGCAGCCACCTGGAAACTACAACGTCCCCAGCATGAGCTCATGGGATAGCAGGACACGTCCCAGTCCCAGCCCTGGCAAGCAGTCTTTTCCCTTCACTCCAGCTGTCCCGACCACCCCATCTGCCAGCTGCTGCGGAAACTTCAGTGTGCGGTCTACAGCCGGCTCTACCCTGTGGTTAGCCGGGGCATGGGCGACCCCCCGACCTGCCTGTCACTAGATGCTGAGGGGCTGCCAGTGCTGCCAGAGCCAGGGGGCCGGCGGCTCCGGGCCTCGCAGAGCCTGCACTGCATGTTCTCCATGCATGAGACCAACCAGCTCAACCTGCGCCACAGCCTCTCCAGTGCCCCCCTCATCGAGGACCCACCTGCCCTCACCTCCAGCCCCTGCCCACCCCAGCGGGACAGCTCCTTCGAGGACCTGGAGCGGTTCCTGATGGGGCCCGAGGGTGCAGCCCCGGCCGAGAAGAAGGTGGCATCTCTCCCAGAGCAGCTGAAAGGCATCGTGAAGGACATCCACAATGCCGTGGGTGAGGGGCTGGAGCCACGGGACAGTCCGAAGGAGCCTGGGTTTTGGCATCACTTGCCACTGGGTGCTTTCTAAGCAGGCTGGAACAGGGCTGGGCACTCCCAGGGCATTGCCATGTCTCAAAGCAGAGGCTACATCCCTCCCCCAGTGCCCCCAGCTGCCTTCTCAGACCCAGCAGGCCCTGCCCCATAGCTGGGCTTCGAGCTGCACCACTGCTACTGGTGCAGGCCTCTGAAACCTGTTGCCTCTGCTCGGAGGTGCAGTAGTCCAGTGGGGAGGTACACGGGCTCCTGGCATAGGACTGTGGCTCCAAGTCTTGGCTCCGTGGCCGCCAGAGGGCAGCGTCGGCCCCCGGAGCCGTCAGCTCTGCTCCACGGGCTCCGAGCACGGAGCTGCATGGCACCTGCTGCCGGGGCGAAGGCAGCCCCACAGCTGCCTGCTCCCTGCTGCAGACCCTGTCCCAGCTCATGGGGCCCAGGCGTGGCAGGAGCAGCCCGGGCAGAGCTGGTGGTAGCTGGTGCTTCCAGAGCTCTGCCAGGCACTGCACAACGCTCTCGGCAGCCTGGGCCAGGCAGAGGCCGCGTGGCGAGATGCAGGGAGGTGGGGGTTTGGCGCAGTGCTGATGAGGATGGATGGGAGGTGCTGTCTCCTGGGAGCGATGTGCAGGATGGGAGGATCCTGGGGGAGAGACCAGGGGCCGGTGATGGCTGCAGGGACAAGGAGATGCTGGCGGGAGAATTGAGAGCCCTGCTTTAGACTTGGCACGAGGGCTCCCTAGTCCCGGGGAGAGGCCAGAGGGCTGGGCTGTTAGGCCTGGAGCCGGAGGTGGGGAAGGGGTTGGTGAGATGAGAGGTGACCATGGGCGAGGTTACTCTAGACAGGGGCAGGCCGGAGCCTGGAAGAGCCAGCCCCTTGGGTTCGGTTCCTATCACCCCAGGTGGGAGCGCTGGGGGCACCGCTCAAGTGAAAGGGCACGAGCCGGCTATAGCAACTGAGCATGCTCTCTGCCTGCCCCCAGACCGGCTCCTGTCCCTGGCCCTGCTGGCCTTCGAGGGCCTCAACGCCGCCCCTGCTAAGGACCAGTGCCTGGCCTGCATTGAGGAAGCCTTCTTCCCCCCGCTTTGGGCCCCACTGCTGGCTCTGTACAGGTACCACGCGCCCGGGCAAGGGCTCAAGACCCCACACCTGGCTCCCTCCCAGTGCCAAGTTGGCGCCCGCCTCTCCGTGTGCCCAGGGCATGCAGGAGCTGCACAGCCGGGCCTGTGTGGTTCCAGCATTGTCCAGTCTACCCCGTGTCCAAGATGTGTCGTGAGCCAGGCCTGGTCAGGGAGTGCCGCACTGTGTTGTGCTCTTCACCAGCCCCCACTTCCTCCCTGCAGAAGCGTGTACAAGGCCCAGGAAGCTGCCCTGTCATGGGGCATGGAGCGCCACCACAACACACCGCCTGTGGACATGGGGGTCCCCTCCAAGCTGCTGCCCTGGGACAGCGCAACGCAGGCGCCGGGCTCCTACCCCTACAGTACTGCCGTGCAGGAGCTGCGGCTCATTGCCCTGGAGAGCTGCCCACAGAGGAAGCTGGACTGCATTGGTGAGGCACATGGGGGGCTCTGGGGCAGGAGCTGGAGCCATCAGGCCACAGCACCCCCTTTTCACATGGCTTTCAGGCAGGGGGGCTGCGTGGGGCAGGGGAGCTATGCTGTGTGCATGCTGTCAGCAAAGCCAGGCAATGCCCCCTCAAGAGCTGTGATCTCCCCTGGCCCATCTGAGCACCCCTGCATCCCTGCTGTGTGCTGCAGCACCCCTTTCTGCCCTAGCCCTGTCCTGCCACAGGCAGTGGGAGGAAGGTTTGCTTGGTGCAAGGCTGGGGTTGGCCCCAGTGCCACCTGCCAGGGGGAGGCTGCGGGGCCGGGTGTGGGCTGCTGTCCCTGATGCTGGGGCTTGGTGCCTTGCTTGCAGTGCGAGCTCTGCGCATGATCTGCGAGTGTGCTGAGGAGTACTGCGGGGCACGGGAGAGCCAGCCCCCCGCGGCCGCTATGTGAGTATGGTGGGGACGCAGCACAGTCCCTTTGCCCCTGTCACAGCCCTGGGCTCTTGAGGCTGGAAGGATGCAGTGTGGGAGATGGGGGAGGGCCAGGCTCCATGACTGGGTGCTTTGGGGGTGCTGCTCCCCTTGCTGCCATGGTGAAGTCTCCTGCAGCCCCATCTCTGAGCCGCGTGGGGCAGCTCAGTGTGAAGCCGTCAGGCCCACTGGCTAACATCCACCACCTCTCCATCGCTGCAAGGCGCCTAGCCCATTTTGCATTGCCGACACCAGGCCTGATGGATCGCTTCTGACAATGCGCCATGCCGTGGGGGTCCTCCCTGCTGTGCTGACCGGGTGGGGGGCCCGTGTCAGCAGCCGAGACCTCGGCTGGCAATTTAGCAAGCTCGGAAGCTGTCACAGGGACTTAAGCAGCAAGCAGGAGATGGTGGGACCGTGAGCAGGGCCCCGCGCCCCGGCGAGACAGCAGTCCTGCGGCTGGTCTGTCAAAGCAATGAGCAGGGAACTGGGGAGCAGGCAGAGCCGGGAGGGGGAGGCGGCAGGCGGCTGCTACTCCCAGCTGGGACTCGGTTGTCTGAGCTCTGCAGACCTGAAGGGCGAGAGAGCAGGCGCCGTGACCCCCACACTCCCAGCAAAGCCATGGCCTGTGGGAGCAGTGCTATAGCCGTGTGTGGCAGGGTGAACCAGACTGTCCCAGGGGTGCTCACAGCCCTCAGTCTCGGCATCTCTCCCTCTTGGCTTCTGATCCAGCGGCTCATGGGAGTCTAGCATCCCTGCCACGTGTGTGGTCACAGCAGCTCAACTCAACATCCCCGGTGCCCGCCCCAGCACCCACAGCAGCAACGCAACATCCCCGGTGCCTGCGCCCTCCAAGCGCTTTGCAGTCCAGCCTTGCCACTCCCCTGTGGCTCACCTGGGGAAACCGAGGCACAGAGGGGCAGTGCTGTCAGGCAGGGAAGAGCCAGTTGGGGATGGGGAGCGGTCTGCCTTGTAGGGAGCAGCCTGACGCTGCTCTTTGCCCCCGCAGTGGTGCTGATGACCTGCTGCCCATCCTGTCCTACGTGGCCGTGCGGAGCAGCCTGCCCCAGCTGGTGTCGGAGTGTGCCGCACTGGAGGAGTTCATTCACGAAGGGTAGGACGGGGCAGGTCCACCCTCGGGACCCCAGGGACGAGGGCCAGGCCTACCTGTGACTCCTCGCCAGCTGCCCCATGCATGCTTCCAGTAGGCTGCTGGGCCATGAGGGCAGGGCATGCGGTTGCCCCCCTGCATAGCCCTGCTCATGTCTCCTGATACCCCAGCCCAGGCAAGCTGGAGGCTGGGATACGATGAAGAGCTGCATGAGGGCCAGAGCCAACAGGAGGCGGGGGGGACACCCCAGCCAGCTGCCATCTGGGAGGGGACCCTCTTGGTCCCTAGGCTCCCCCCACACTGCCCTCTCACCTAGAGATCCCTGCAGCAGTGACAAGGGGGCCAGATGCCTTCGAATGGCCCTGGTGCCACGTACCGGGGGTGGGGGGGTGTCCTATATGCAGAAGCACCCACTGCCCCTCGCTGCAGGCTGCATCGTGCTGTCAGCTAACGAGCCCTGATGCTAACGAGCCACGGCAGCACCACAGCTGAGCCCTAATCGGAGGGGACAGACTGCGGGGAGAGTAGGGGGGCAGGCCGGACCCTGTGGAGCAGCAGGGGGAAGGGCTGGGCTGGCCCTGCTCGGCTCTGCAGCTCCTGCCCTTTCCTGAGACCCTGGAGCTCAGCCCCCTCCACCCCTGCCTGCAGCCCCACAGGCTGGGGCAGAAGCCAGTAACACAGGATTACGGTGGAGGCGTGGACTCCGCAGCCTGGCCCCTTGCAAGGGCCGGCGCCAGCCTTGGCTGCTGCTGGGGAAGCTTCGGCCCCCCTAGCAGCGGGGGTCAGCCAGGGGTTGCGTGGGCCAGGGCCCTGATGCGCTGGTCCCTGCAGGTACCTGATCGGCGAGGAGGGGTACTGCCTGACCTCCCTGCAGAGCGCCTTGGCCTTCCTGGAGTCCTTGCCCGCTGGGGCCACGGCCAAATAGTGGCCCCACACTGCTCCTCTGCCTGGGGGCACTGACATACCTCTCAGACCGGGCACTGCGGGGAGAGGCCTGTAGGCTGCCCCCGGCCCCACACGCTGGGAAGGGCTGTGCAATATGTGGGGGTCTGCTTGGAGCCAGCCACCCCCTCTAACCACTGCGGGGGGCAAGGGCCCACCCCAGCCCCTGCTGCCCCACATTGGTGCTGCATCCGGGGCCGCATTGACGCTTCTCCTGAGCCAACCGCTGCTGCTTTGCACCAGGATCCCCTGGGCGTGACACTGGGGAGGGGCCCAAGGGGCAGCATGTGCTCCCCTGGGGTCGCAGCTCACATGCCTCTGCCCACGCTGCTCTCGTGGCTGTTGGACGTGCCCTGTGTCCGTCTGTCTGTGCACTGTGTGCGAGTGTGTGCCTGCAGTGCAGTGCCAGCTGCCCCTGAACTGCTCCACTGGGCCTGTCTGGCTTGGAGGCTGCAGCCGGAGCAGACCTGTGGTGCTGGGGGTGGCTGGAGCCGGTAAGTTGTGCTGTGCACACGTGTGTGTATGTGCATATGCATGTGTGTGTGTGTTGGGAGGGGCATCCTGCAGCCCCCTCCTGGCTGGAGCAAGCTCGGGACTCATGGGAGCTGTGTTGGGGCCAGGCCTGGGCATCCCCCCACCCTGAGCCCTGGGGGCCCTCGCCCATGCCTGTCTCCCCCTGCCCCATCTTGGGCTGAGCAGGGTGGGAAAGGGGCTGGTCCTGCGCCCTCCCTGCCTGTCTGCAAAGCTGCTTTGCCCTGCTGGGGCCGCCCCGTGTCAGGGTCCTGGGGTAATAAACACATCTGTGACCTGGAGCCTCAGTGCAGGTTCTTGGCGGTTCCCGGGGGGAGGTAGGGACAGGTCTGTGGCTGCCCTGGCTGGGGGAGCAACGCTTGCCCTGTGCAGCCCCAAGCACAGGGAACAGGGTACGTGTCCCCCACTCGCTGGTGCAAGAGACGGGGCCCAACCTGCCTGGCAAGGGGGAGCTGGGCTGTGCCAGGGTTGCTGCGGGTGGCAGTGCCCCAGGCCTGACACTGATGTGCCCTGGCAGGTGTGAATGCTCTGCCCAGCCGGGGGCACTGGGGCGGGCAGCCACATGCGCTGCGGTGAACATGCCAGTCTGCATCAGGCACGGCCCAACAGTCGTGAGCTGTGCTGCTTCCTCCTCAGCCCTGCCAAAGCCGGAGCTGGGCCGGGACCAGGCAGGGACCCCTAGGCCTGGCACAGATGGAGGGGACAGGACGGGCCCTCCCAGGGCACCGGGACTGTCAGGGCCAGCAAGGGGCTTTGCCCGTGGGTGTGGGGCTGGAAGACACCAGTTGGGGTCAGGGATCTCCGTGCTCCCAGGTCTCCTGTGCAGCAGAAGCAACTCCTCTGCTTTGCCTCCTTGCACGGAGCTCCCTCCTGCCAGGGCACCCAGGTCCTGCAGAGCCATGGGGCTGATGACTGGTCGGGTTTTGACCCCCCTCCCTCCCCCCTCCCCTTCCCCAGACAGAACAGGTCCCCCTCCAACTTTGCCCTACCTTTGCATCCTGCACTGCTCTGCCTGGCAGCGTGGGGGGTTCAGGGCCCAAGGCTGTGCCACCCTTCCCACCCCGCTGGCGCTGGGAGAGCAGGAAGGAAGGGGTGATCCCGCCGCAGCTGCCCGCACGGCCCAGAGTCCAGCTTTGTACAAAGAACTTTTATTACGAGCGGGGACACAAGACCAGGGCAGGGCGGTGCTCCAGCACGGGGGCATCTCTAGGGGCTACACGGTGGGGGGCCAGACAGCAGAGCCCCGAGACCCTGCCCGCGGGGCCCTGCCTGCGAGCCCAGCCCCCGCTGCGGGGCCAAGGAGAGGAAGGGGCTGGGAGAGAAGCCAGGGGTCAGCTGCCCCCCTCCTCGCAGGGGACCAGAGAGCAGGGAAGACGGGCATGGGGGGCCGCGAGCAGCAGAGCTGGGGCCCCTCAGAGCTTGCCCTCCAGCGCCAGGGCTTGCAGGTCGGCGGGCGAGCTGGCACACAGCACGGCGTGCGACACGCGCCGCTTCTCCACCAGCGCGGCCAACGCCTCCCCCACCCCCAGGTGACTCCCCTTGCTGGCGGGGGGCGCTGGGCCCGGCTGCCGGCTGGGCGGAGGCCCCAGCGCCCTCGCTGCTGCATGCGTGCCCACGGGCGCAGGTGGCAGGGGCAGGGTGGCGCTGACCTCGTTGAGCTTGCAGGGCACGTCGGGGTACTCCT